GGGTATGCCAGATGGAATGCTATGATTGCTTTTTTGAGTGGCTAGTGGTCAATTGACCTCAATTCTTAGGAACACATCTTATATTAAATTAAATTCGCCCATATACATTCACGCAGTCGGGGCGGCATAATTGATTCTCATGAAAATTGCTCCATAAATAGCCCCACTTTGTACTTTAATGTGGCAAAAATACGTGATTACATAAATAATACATACGATGGTGATGTCACCAGGCACACAGTGCGTGTTTGTGAGTTTCACAAAAAAAAATGTCTAACCTAACCTTCAGGTTTATTTTCGACGAAATTGAAATGTCTCAGAGGGGTGTTAACAACTTAATGTATAGCTTTGCCGATATACGATCGACAGGAGCAGCTAAATTACGACGATCTCCCAGGATTATATACATTGCAAAAATTTCCCAGTGGAATTCAAGCAATGGGGTGTGTGTATTAGCTAACATCGTCTTCGCATAAACAAAGGTGTCACATTTTCCTCTAATTTCATTCCCCGTCATTCCAATAAAACACAAAATGTGCTTTCAACTTCGATTGCTATTACGAAGAATGTAATCAATGCTAAACAGTGTCAAATGAATTATCTTTTAATGCTAGGTGAGTGATTACGTTTTAAATATTTAAACACCGCATGACTGTTATTCTTAATGATAACATTTTCTCTTTCTGGCCGAAGTAACTGGAAATATTTTATTTTATTATTTTGCGTGAATGAGTCATACAAATAAATTTCAACAGGTCAAGAGACGATCGCATTGTTTTGACACAACGGTTTGAAGAACAATGGAGAAGTGTGATTTTTATTTTCCTTTTTGTAATAAGATTTCGATTTAAACTACATTACTAAATATAAAATCGCAATAACCAAGCCTTAGAGTGTAGTACTAGAGAAAACTGTCAGAGTATCAGCGTGGTCAATTGCTAGATTATTTGATTACTGTGATGATTATATTTACCATATGGTTTTAAACCCAGGGAAACTGCTAAAGTTAACAATCTGTGGGAAATATTTTTTTCAAGTGTTTACACTGTTATCTATGGAGAGACTAATTGCAGTATGAACTTTTACAGGTGACAGCCACATCGCCACTTATAACATCACATATCAGCACGATTCGGCTTTTTGCGATTTGTCGTACTATGTGTATATCGGAGCGTACAAGCAACACGGCATGACATCTGAATTGAATTCAAAGCTCATTGTTATATAGAAACCGTCTTCCTCTCGACTGGGTTGTTAGTTTTGATTTAAAACTCAGTATTCTGACCTCAATGTTTAACCACTAAATATCAGATATAAATGAATATATTCGGATTGTTTTCGAGAGTATTTTCAATGCTCCACATGGCACAATTATTGATATTGTCATAGATCAATACAAACATTTACCCTGAAACAATGAGTAAAAGTGGTGAATTGTGTTTGGGTGATGTATTTTTTTTTCATGCATTCATTGCTCAGTTTTGATTCCGGTCATTTTGCTGTACTAGAATTTTCGATTCGTGAAATATAATATATTTACCAGAAATATATTTATTCCGAAATTGACATTTGTTTTTAGGCGAGGGCTTATGTGTACATGTATATGAATTACATTCGCAAATGCATTAGCGTTGTACTTAAGTGTGTTTACGCCTTCTTCCTGAATCTTGAATTTGACACCGTGACCTCCTGCATCATCACTTTCTTGACTGGTATTTATATTATATATATTTATATTATAGATATATACACAAGCGTTCGATAACATCTATTTCGCATTCAGCACGTGGTGAAGGACATTTTAGCGCCATATACTAACACGTTTACAGATTGGTAGATGTGACCTAACCCTGCTTTAACTCACGTGGTGCTTTTCGACCAGTCAAAATGCTTCATTGCAGGACTTTATATACACCGAATGTTTTTAAGTCTGACTCGTTTTCTCAAATGTCCTTGTCTTATAAATTGTCATAGGCGTTTTATACGAATTATGTCGAACCAACCCTTGGTGACTCAACAGAAGGGCTAAAACAAATTGCCGAGACTCGGGACTGCAGGTGCTTGTGTTTGACCGGGTCTTGTTGACACCACGATAGTGCATTAAATTTCTATAAGAAGATGGTCACACAGCCCTGGCAAAAGGAACTATATGCTATCAATCACATTTTCAAATTGCACGTAAAAAAACAACATTGACAATCACTGTTCGGAACTGTCGCCTGACACAAAAATATAAAACAAGTGTGTGCAAAGAAGAAACCCCGAAGAAACGGTCGATCTGACAGGCAAGCTGCTCACCGGGTATTATGTTACACAATGTGGTGACCAGTACACTGATTTATTCATTATACTCAGTATTTTATGTGCGAACCAGGAGACGAATGTTACACTCCTCACGAGATCTCGGCGTGCCTTCGGCAAGTAAGGTCTAAACGGTACCTACTCGGTATCATATGAGGTTATATCTCGATGTAAAAGTGAACGTACTACTATACTCATGTTTTCTCAATTATAGATGTGATAACTGAAAAATGACGAATAGTCGCTTTGCAACCTCATTAATGCTTGAAGCGGGGATTTCTACAAAGTAGAAAAGTAGTTAGATTTACAAAATATTAAAGAGATGTTAGTAGTTTTCCACTAATTGGGAAAAAGCATTATGTAGATTTGCACGGAATGATTATAGACGCCGCGTGTGCCATTTTACGCCGCGCGATTGCTGCACCAATTCTCTGGAACATTCCATTAATATCGAGGGTGGGTGGACATATTTGTGTTTTACCACAGATACTAACATTTTTGCAAACTGCTTAATTTTTTATGGTTCATGTTTTCGAACTAATTAAAAAATAGATGCGACCTCGTGAGTGTGGAAACAACTTATTCGAACACATCACCCCGCCATTCGTGGCCGACCATCTCTCTACGTAAATTGACTATTCCTAATGATATAAGTGAGACTTGGTGTGACAATGACACGTCTTTAACATGTTAGATACTTAAAAGCAAAGGTTGTTATAAATTGGATGTCAATCGCTGGGAATACCAGTAAATGGCATTGAAATTGGAATTATATTTCGTATTAAATAGGCTGTAACATTGACATTTTACCATTGCCAGTCACGAACATCTTATTTTTTTTCTTCATATTTTATGATGCAATATATCATATCTTTCCCACATTTTTAGTGACGTTTAAATCGTTGCCATGGTGACAGGGAAGAAATGGTATGGTTCACCAGCATGTAATGATGGTGGTTAATTAAAATGGAATGTGGATTTTTTTCAAGAGGTCGGAGTGTCAAAACACATCATTAAGACTATTAGCGTCAATTACTATCAACACACACACACGCCTCAACCGTTCAATGAACGCGATATCGCGTGGTGGTGGCATCGCTAAATTGGTCAAATGGTCGGGAGAATCATAAACCTAACGCTATTTTTACTGTGAACAGAAGTGGTCGATACCAAACGAGAACTTAGATAGAAGCACGGAAGCAGTGCGCATTTAATTTCATCCGCCAGAACGGTTATAAAACGTAATTGTTTTAACGCTCTGTTATTTTCATTATCACTATAACGGATACGCTTTCTGACTTTATTGGATTTCCCCGTAAATATTCTTAATCACAAAATTTCAGGAGTATGCCTTTACGAAGTCGGATTAAATCGATTTAGGATTTCTCATTGCACACCCAGTTGTCGGTAAAAACGGTCACATATGTTGCCACAAATTACAAGTTCAATGCCAGTGCATAATTTTTCTCCTCCATCGATAAGGTTCAACTACTGTCCAGATTAGTATCAGCTGTTTTGCTGACTATAACAACGTACATATGAAATGAGATTGGTTGGTATGTATGTATGAGTGAACTTGACTCTAACATTTTGGTATGGATATGGAAGATGGAAGCGAGGTCATATTTACGGTAACGACTGTTCGCTTTCCACCAAAGACACACGTGTCATTTGCAATGCTTAATTTTTCTAATAAAATCCGTCCGGGGTTAGATTATTGTGGTTTGTCTAAATTGGAAACATAACGTCACAACCAGGCCCGAAATGTGGGTGTGTATGTATGTGTATCACGAACGTACCTTTTTTACCCACATGACATGCGTTAGTAGCTACATGAAATTAATTAATTGGCATTTAATTAATTAATTAACTAGCCCTAGTGGTGAAAGACTAAACGACACACGTAAACCCATTCGTACCTCAAAATATATACCTCTTAAAGTTAAAGTGGCGTTGCAGTGCCTCGGAAAAAAAGCAAATCAGATAAATGAAGTGTTGTCAAATGAAATACATTCCCACCCACTCGTAGTATGCAGACAGGCGGAATGATGCTTTCCCGGAGAGTGCGTCTTCGATAGGAATTCAGCGAGCCGTTAATTAGACCGATGTATGCGCTGCTTGCTGCTTGCCTCGGTTTCGCCAGTAATGAACTACGCACACAGATACCAACGATCGAGCGTGAAAGCTGTACACTTGTTTGTGCAATCCCCCCTGACTGATATACTAGTAGTCGATACCGATTGGCTTCCAACGAGTCGTATGCAAATTAGCCATCTTAAACATTCGTAAACTAGGTCGTCCAATTTAGTAGTAGCAGTGAAGAGCGATAACCGCCACGTAAGAACTTATTTTCCACTATTTCAACTGGCAACAGTGAGGGCCACCTGAAGCGCGGATAATCTACAGCGGCGGTAAGATCACACGTATCGGTACCAGAGACAGACTTGTCATAGCACGACACTCGCAACAAACGCATATTTTTTTTATTCTACCGGTTGTCTTTGCTGCTTTGCAAATTGATCGCAAACATTGAAACCGCTGTATATGGAATACACAAAGCAATATTCCACGTGGAATACCACGGCTAATGTAGGTTCCAGTTGTTGTATTTGCGGTATATAGTGAATAAGACATACTGTGTGATGTCTGTTGTGATGCCCCGATCGGATCGCTCCATTCAGCCGTCTATGTCGCGGACTATGTCAAACCCGGAAAGGCGGCGGGGTAGACGGCCAGTACAGCGTCGGCGACGTGATTGTGATCGCATTTCGCCGAAAGATTCGTCGGTGTTGCCCGCAGGAAGAAGTACGTCGTTGCCCAACCGTTGCGAAAGATATGTAGAAAATGGCGATGCATGCGCTAATAATTCGTGTAGTAGCAGACGGCAACTCGTGGGTTCCAGCTCGTCGTGTGGAAAGCGTTCACTCGATGTCAACTCAATCAGTAGCTGTTCTTCCACAGATCCCAGCACTATGAACATGACTAGCATAGAAGATCGTATGATACATGCTGTGAGATATCAACGGCTTCATCGGGAATGGTCGGACTCGCAGTTCAGTTTGCTACGCCAGGAAGAAGCTTGCAAGACTTGTGCGAGCTGTCAACGGAAGGCAGAAAATCACCGACCGGGTCGCAGAAGCACCGGTGATCACATCGGCGATGTTATACGGAGGCGTGCGTCGCGAGTGAGTATGCTCAATTTTGCCCCTCATACGTTTCTCGACGAAATAGATTCGCTGAATCCTGACGGAAATTCCCGGGTAGTCACCGGGAGCGATGCAGTGGTATTGAAACGACAAATTGGTGTATTTGACTGCGTGTCAATTATAGTGGGCGTTATCATCGGTTCTGGGATATTCGTTGCACCGAAGGGGATCCTTAAAAACACTGGCGGATCTGTTGGAGTAGCACTAATTGTCTGGGTTTTGTGTGGTATATTATCAGCGGTAGGGGCCCTATGCTATGCCGAACTTGGGACAACTTTTACCAAATCAGGTGGCGATTATATTTATCTCTTAGAATCATATGGTCCTTTGATCGCATTCCTACGCTTATGGACTTCTCTGATCGCCATCAGACCGGCCGTGGTGGTCGTTATAGCTATAACGTTCGCCAAGTACGTCACCCTACCCGTAATGGAGTACTGTAATGTTAACGATGTTGTTGTTCGTCTCGTAGCGGCTCTTCTTATTTGTAAGTATTCTGCCCACACATGTTTGCAATGCCGTGGTATTTGTTCTGGAATGTCGATTGTAAGCAATCAGCGAGCGAAATATGCCCTGCTCTCCGACATCTCTCGCTTGTTACAACGGCTAATCAGACACGGCCCTTTCTATGCAGAACGCAATCATTATAATGACGCGGTATTCACCATCTCAAAAAACAAAGGAAACCCAGACTATATAATGAATACATGAAGTCGGTTTAAATCAGACCTTTATGGAGTTGATACTAATGTTACTAAAAAAACATACGGTCTATTAACATGTCCCCTCTCACATCATCAATCTTGTGAGCAAGATCGCAATAAGCTTCCTCGTCATTTGTATGATGATACAGTGGACGTAGAGTATGTATTTTCTTCCGAATTGGTTATGCTTTTTTGTCAACTTTGTCTCGTAATTCACAGTATTCGATGCAGCCACTTCGAATTAAAAAGTACGTACCATTTTTTCATGAAACAAATTATATTTTGAACTGTAAAAAACATTGTTTATAGTTCACGATAAATCACATTTCAAACAAGAAAAATTGACAATTGTGCCTAATATAGTATAACATAGTCCATATATGGAATTGTCAGATGATACAATATTACTTTATTACGTTTCTTTAGCCCCAGAACATGCATAATTAAATATGCCATCGAAATAGGCATTCGTAATGGTAGGTGCCGAGGGAACTAAAGGTAATATTCAAAACATATATAATAATTTGAGCGAAGTGAAAAATAATATAATGTAACCCTAAATACGTCTCTACTATGACTCGACTGTGTGGCTGCGTGTGGATCCTGGTGGATGCGTGTGTGTTACATGGCTGCGGGGCGTCCAAAACACCATTCTGATTTTAAGCGTAAAATATATATGTACATATATATATAAGACAAGATAGGACAGTTAAATAATATATGACACAATATCGTATAAGTAGAAAGATTGATATCATACAGAAAAATACGACCCAAAAATAACTGTCATATGATATATAAGGTTAGTTATGTGATGCATGCCTGACCTAATATAATGCTAAATTGGGCACTACTCCAAGACGATCGAAGCTGGGGAGGCGCCAGCAACCTACTTGCCCAGACGTTTAATCATAGACTAGCTATGAAACCAACATGTGTATGACCTATGCACATTTCTTCATTAGCGGCTATTGAACACGCCTGGTTGATATTCGCCGCCTTGAATACACCGACTAGCCTTCGATTAACCCGTGTTTCTGTGAGATATTACTTTCGAAACCTTAATCTACAGGTTCCGCAATAATTGACCACGTTGTATTTAAACCTCATTCACCACAATTTTCCGAAACGAGTGGCTACCTTAACGGCGAACGTATGTTCATTTAACGATATTATTTTATACCACAAAACTCATTTACATGAACACGCACAGTTGTCATATATTGGGACAATACTGTCAAAAGGCGTTGCTAGTAATTTATCTTCTTACTTATACACAGTTTCACTGAATGGTGGACTGGACAGGTGTATCAAACATAGATGGTATACTAATGGAACATGTGCTACCATGGCGACGAATTCGAAGCATTTGATTCCCACTCGTTCATTTAAACTCAATTCAGCCACGACTGATAATTACCAAAAAATAAAATCATACTTATTGCCGCATATAACTTACTTACTACGTTTTAGGACGGAAACACTATATTTAATGTATACATACATATTTGTCCCGTAGAATATTATATAAATTCTTTCATTTCTGATTACCGGCACTGCTTTCATTATGGCCAAGGGACAGCTAGTATGATTGGATTGGCCAGCAACTCACACAATACCATGTATCACGAACCGAAGAAACGATTGTTCATTGATGAATCACCCTTGAGAAAGATATTTCGATTAGATCCAGTCACCATGGATACAAATTGAAAACAGATTAGTATGTTTTTGCATCTCAAGACTTAAAACTCGAAGTTCCGGATCTCTCATTTTGAAAGAAAGGTAATAACTGTCATATCACTTCCCTCTAGTTGATGTGCAGCTTTATTGATTAGCATTTGATGTCTAAATAATTCAGATGTATTAGAATTTTTTTTTGGGGGGGGGGGTTCAACGGAAACCGCTTAACCCAGACTATACGTCGCCGATAAGCGATCACAATTATCCAGCGTTACCGTTACCCACTTTCAGGAATTTCCGAAACATTAATCAACATTTCCACCCACTTTAGTTATAGTTTTCCTTTATAACTAGACAAAGTTATCGTTTCAAGGTAATATACAATGATTAGTCTACAGCCAGCAAGAAAGTTTCTAGTTCTACATATTAATGTTAATCAGACGCGATACGCTAACAAATGTGAAGGCGGTGGCGACGTGTATGAAGAACTTAATACTGAAGGACACGTAACCTATTGCGAAGAATGACATGTGTATATTGCTTGAAGATCGCGAACGCGGATATATATGTTCACTTAATGCACTATATCCCCCGATTAGGAAAGGAAAGACGTTGTACCAAAGTACCCGACGTGCCAATGGTGGTGATCACCGTTGAAGTTGATGGATAAGGCACGTTTGATGATCAAACTTTAAAACGACGCACCATCAATCATTCATCGCTCTTAACGTTCATCTTGTGACTTATTTATCTCCAGTAATACAAACAGATAATATTTTTTATGGAATAAGTTTAATCATAGCAGGAACCCGCGAAAAAATATGGCATCCACAGAAATGGCGGTTGCACGTGGTGCACTGTGTATTGGTCTATTCGTAAATGCCTGATGCCCACGTTTTCAGTCGTTTCGTATGCACACTGGGAAACACGTGTCTATTTGCTGCAATACAGAAATATAAATCAGTTAGACACTTATTCTGAAGCTAATAAAATAAAGACCTGTTCGAGCATCAGAATAGAGTTTCTGGTTATCTCACTCGCTAATATTTAAGTAAATTAAGTTCAAAATAAGCTGGTCGACCAGGCGTTTTAATTGTGTGGTATTTGACCGATCAAAAACCATACACGTTAATGCAAATTTAGTGTGAAATTCGAAAATTCGGATTGTGTTTTTCTATCTGACGTGTTAACATGTGGTCCGCAAAAGCGTCAGTATAAGTAGGCACCTTCCATCCGCGGTTCACTTTATCTTCTTAACTTTTTAAAGCATTTTACAACGTCCTGGGTAATGTTTAAACTCACGTGGAGGGAGTCATATCCAGCTAATATATGCCAATCACTGATGACATTTCTGCACATTGTGTAAGATGAAACCTTTGACTTTTGCCCCTGTCAGTAACAACAGCTAATAACGTAATATTCAAGACGATCATTAGGCTTAGACACGCAATAACTCTGATCAGCGGTATCCACTGAAAACATTCGAACCATGGGAAATATTCACATGCGCATTCAGGAGAGATCAAGCATTACGACTAGACAGCCCTTGGGGAGTTTGCATAGCATATCTTTATTCAGTTTTTTTTATAAATATAATGATAAACAATAGGGCTAACACCAGTATACTGGAGAAAACTATTCCCCGATTCAATATGGTAAAATAAGGGGAATTGTCTCAGAACTGCGTTAAAAACGAATGGTGTTATTTAACGTCGGCTGCCCCTGCCTTGATTACTAGTATATGCCGTTTCGGTTCGCTAACACCTCGATAGCTCAAGTTATCGTGCAATTATTTCGTGTACGTTTTCAGGAGTATCGTTGGCGTGTTGAAACGTTGAATGAGCTTTTGGAATACTGCCAGAGGTTTAATTATTAGTGGATGTATGTTGTGTTTATTTCATTGCGATGTTGTTTGGCGTTCTGGTTAGGGACAATGCAATATCTTTGATGCGTGAGTCTCCCTTAAAATTAGCGTGATGTCAATTAATATCATCAACATGTTCTATTATAATGCATGCCACACACACTATATACGATGCACTTTATAATCCTTGATAATAAAACAACTAATAAATAGTTCACACGCATGCATTCATTGATTAATTTAGTTTTGTATTATTTATTTTTTGTAAAAGAACACATCAATAAACATTTTTTTCATTTCTTGCCTACATTATTATGTTTACATATGATAATTCCGAATAAGGAATGCACATCAGGAAGTCGGATGGATACATGACATCCATGTCATTTCAATCATTGTATCACTGCTGTGTAACCTCAAATATTGGCAACACTAACAATGTTACTTAAAATAAATGACTCCGCCATTTCTATTTCTCGAAACCTTGCGACGAAAGCACGCAGATTTTCGTTCTTCTATGTATGCTTACTTTCATGGAATGAGTAAATATCCCATACTAGACTTCCCCTAAAATAAACATATTTCCAATATGTACCCGATACCGTAATTTATATATAGTCCAAAGACAATCATATTTACATAACCTGTAATATGCGTCAGGGCGTGACGCTCTCGCATGCAAATTAGATGCACTTATTGCATCTGGCAATTTACGATTCCTATGATAGGTTTTTAGTTGAAGAATAAATACGTAATTTAATAAAGTCTTGCAGTATGCCGAAGGCAACGAAGAAATACAATCCACTGAACGTGTTTAATAAATAGTTAAAGTATTATAGTATAGATGATAATATCGTTCATTAAATATCCTGTATATATCGGTAATTCCGGGCTAAATCGTATTCGTATTCGCGGGTATCACAACTATGTGATCGGTGTCGTTGATATTTAGGTATGTTATTACAAAACGAGATGATGCACAAAAACAAAATACGTCCGTGATATTTGTTTTCCAATCCAACAGCTTAAGTGTGTCTGTGGTGATAAGACTCCGCCCGAATCGAAGATTGTTCCAGCTTTCATTATTATTATTATTGGTTATACCATTAGAAAATCGAACATTTAGTGAGTTGTAGTTTTCCGTTATATGCAATTATTTCCCATAATACACTGCATATATGCGCAGTAACATGCTCAGTGGTGAAATAAAGGACTTCGATCATAATAATCCATTTTTATATAAAACCAACCACACAGAACAGATACATCTAGATCAATGAAACGAGGACAATAATTTACGAAAATTAATTAACCTACTTTAATACCATGAACAGCATACTGCAGCTATAACGAGGATGGGATCACGCAGTGATCGCGCGAAATGTTTAATATTTTGATAGTGACAGTTACCCGGGGAATACTTCTTACATACTTTATTCATCGTTATAGTTTGATCTGATTCCGCGAGCTTATCTTGCGATTATTGACTTGCTGAAATACATTTGAGAGTGTCAGTTACCCGGGGAATACTTTCTACACCACATTGGCAGGTTTACGGAAAGTGGGAATAAATCAATTTGTAGGTTTCTTGACCCGCGATGGAGACCTTATAGTCCCAACGAAGTAATTACACCAGGCGGAAATAGTGTACAATATTCTGAGAGGTTTTAGTAACATTGATTGCTCGTTGGTAAATTCTGATCGGAAATGAGAATTTGTATATGTACCACGTCTTAGTGACGGAGGCCATTCAGTGCGTGGTTGAGCTGGTTGCAATGTTATTTTTTGTGTGACCGTGTCCGGTTGAGAAAATAACCGATGTAATAGCTACGGGCAAATAAAAAAATAGTATAATTGTTTGTAGTAAGATTCATATCTTGTACATTCTATATTCTTCTGGCTTAATTCGTTTCAAATATAAAACAGTTGTGTTTGAATTAAAAGTTATGCACTGTTTCCCTTCTGTTAACCTTGGGCAAAACATATTTCAGATGATTGTTAAGATAATTTCGATAAGCTCATTGTTTTGTTTCTTAATTACTTGTTTGCTTGAGTTTTAACAATGTCATAATTAATTGGCTCCTATTTTCAACTATACGATGTACTTGTATATAGGTTATTTTGGTTTACTAGATGGTTTACGTATGGTAAATATCTGTTTTTATGCCGAACTAGTTTTAAACCGTTAATGCCTTTACCGGTATTAGAGTGATCATATGAGTACCCTCCAGTAATCGAGGCGGACTTTGAATATTTCTCTGATTGAGATGAATCATGTATATACTATTAGTCTATCATCATTCCCGTACGACCATGTTGAAGTAAGTGGTGTCATGGGCAGGTCACAAACTGTGAATGATGACACGAGAATGAGGCACTGATTAATGAGCAATTCAAGTATAGAACAAAATAAAAACATGATTATGCCCATCGGCGTACTGTCTGGAAAACCCGCTGCTTTAACCAAACTGTGTAGCCTTTGTTTAACATGACTAACGCGCAACGGAAATCCCTATTGGAGAACATATATTGATAAATCAATTTCATATCCCCATTCAGTCTATTTTCGAATATCGCGGGACTCCGTTTATCTATCAATACACAAATGAGAGCTGCAAAAGATAAGTATATCTGTATATATTAAATTAATTACGTTTGTTTTTGAAAAGAAGAAATTCGCAGATGCATTCATTAAAATCATATTCACTTAAAATATACATCGTGCGCCAACACGAAAACACGTTAATAACTAGGCAGGGGGGGGGGGTATATTAGAACATGTGGTAAATTGATGTACATATTGCTCACTATATACTATTTTTAGTCCCCGTTCGAACGCAGACCGAAAACGGGTACTTATGGATTGACCTCTGTGCGTCCGTGCATCGTGTGTCCGTGCATCCGTACGTCCGGACCTGTATCTTAGACATGGTTGGTCCAATTACATTATACATATACATATGCATATCAATTTGTTTCACGATCTGCTTCAAGATAGCAGAATGGCGGCCATTTTTGTACTGACAAATCGTCAAAATCAAGCATTTCTTGACTGTTTACAGATGGATTTTGTTCAAACTTGGTACATACATTGGAAATTATATGAACTTGCTGCACGTCATTTTGTTTTTCAGATAAAATTAAAAACGGCCGACTGGCGGTCAGTTTCGTTCAAACTTGGTACATACATCAGATATTATGGGTTCCTGGTGCACGTCATTGTGTTTTTCAGATCGGACTGCGCCATGCATGGTTTGTAGTTTCTGTGTTACGTGACGTAATGCATGTATTCTTCTACAAAAAGTGCATATATGTACGTTCAGCATTTTCCCACTCGACATTGTTCTGTCGGCAGTGGTTAGTTGTTATTAGGTGGTTGCGGAAGAAAGAGTGTCAGATAAAGCATGCACAAATTAGTCGTCAATTTAGTATATTCAATGCTCAATTCTTGTGTTTAAGTCGACATCGATCGTCCCGTGCTAAGTCAGTAGTTTTATTATTAACTGTTTGCTAACCTACTTGTACGATTTCAGATCGCCAACATCTGCTAGGCAAAAAGGTCATAGCCTACTATATAACAAGACTTTTTGGCAGCTTACCAGACAACATTTCTGATACGATAATTTGACTTTTATAGTTTCAATAAAACCCAGCAATGATAAATCATCTCTGTCATTTTTTTCGTACAATCTTTTGATTGTAATATACAATAATATGTATACTGATATATAAAACACACATCAACATCAACAATAAATATCATATTTGTACAAAGTGTATAACCTTCTTGTCAAACATTGCTAAATGCTCGAGACAGATCTCTACAGAATAAATAAAAAGCACACGCAATTAGATACATAGCTCAATTAGACCATGCTGTGTTTGTGTGCATATACAATTTAAAGCTATTATATGCATTAGTGCTTAACTTTGACAAGATAATGTCTTGCCATCAACATTCCGACACCACTAAACAATACCCGTGAAATGTTGGCTCTACTTTATACTATTTTAATTATTTAATACATTTATCTCTTTCCAGGTTTCGCTGTCTTCATTAACTGTTTCAGCGTACCCTGGACGGCCCAGTTGGTGGACTTACTGACGATCGGCAAAGTAATGGGTTTACTCGTTATCATCACTACTGGCTTATTACTTCTTATCAGCGGTAAGTGTAGAGTAATCTCCAAACACTCTTTAGTCGCGACTGTTTTCTCACGGGTATAAACGCACAGCTGATAACTAGCCGTATTGTCCCCATGTCGCCTTCCATAAACGTGCAATGAACACGTAGACTTCTTGAAGTCCCCAAAAGGCTACCAGTAACATTTGTCGATTGTTCTTCATAGACGTTTTATGAGTTAAGAAGCTCCGCGAATGAATCGGCGAGATCATTGACATCAAACTCTGCAATGTACATTATTGATACAATGTACGTCATTAATACGTCATATATAACCTAATATTCACAACAATGTGATCGCTACTATATTACCGGTGTTTACAATATATACATAAACGAACAGCTATATTCACATCGTTATAACTTCATTCCAGCCATGCAATTCCAGCCAAGCCATATCTATAATATTTCAATTAAGCGCTTAGATATAGTAATGCAAACCCTGTTCATTTTATATATTATAATCTGTTCCATGCCCTGATGGATATTAATTAAATATGCACACGTACAAAGCCTGTAACAAAACGAACTTATTCATCATTTGACAATGCCAACCACGACATGTATTAACGTCAATGTTGGTATTGCAATGAGATAAGGCGATCCTAGTTCAATTCTATTCGTCGAATTCAAAAATATGTGTTTCTTTCTTTTGTTTCCTGGACTCACGTATAATCCGATCACCAAAACTGACAAATGTAACAAAGAGCATATCAACAAAGATTAAACGATAACGTTAAGCCGTTACACATGTTTTCAGAGAGACTTCGTCTCTGGTGAATCGTCACAGTTCGTGTAGTGTGTCGCGTCTCGTAGCAACTGAACACATACACAATGCATGTGTTTTAAAAGCACTAACGTTGATAACAGATTTAACTATTGGTTAGATAAGGTCACGTGAAATCGCTATTTAACTGGGTATAGTATTATGTTTAGTTTTCAGTAATTTTTGCATATACAAGGATTTCAGTTTCGGACCAAGTAATGTCACCGGCCCTAATACATTTATTTTGGAATCATTAAACTACCACGTTGTGTGCAAAATACGGGAGTGTGGATAACAGGATGACGCCATTTGTAAATAATAGACATATAGTTAAACAAATTGCGGATACAAGATAAATGTCGGGGAAGTATTTAATTCATATAAAAAAATAAACTATTTTGACATGAATAGGATACCAGTGATTCATGCTTAACGTTTATGAGGCGGTAATAATATAACGCGGCGTAGTTCTCTGATAAATTTTATTTTGTCCAATCAGGAAGCAGCTGGAATATAATATAACAATTGATGTCATCCGGAAATGTCAATGTTCTTGTGGCCTATTTTGCATGAGATTCGATTCAAGTTATTTAGCTTTTCAGAATCCCAGATTACGTCCTATAACACAAGCTCATTGATAAACATAAAAACAAATCTCATTTGATTATCTGGGGCACATGTTTCTTCACTGTGGTATGTAAGTTGATATCACGCTGTGATGTGTTATACGATTAGGTCACCCTGGTTATATTGTACTGTTAATGAGGTTCTGTCAACACCTCCATCAAATGCAATGTAATTATAATTGGTGATAAAACGTGTTTGAACGACCTTTACTGAGAGCATACACGTTGTGACTGACGGGATCACACGAACTTGCTGTATCACGAATTCACTAACAATACAGCAATGGTGCCAGTTACACGGTGAATCAAATAATCACACCTGTGCTAATATACAAGTTCCATTTTTAAAATTAAATATTTATTTAGTCAGTTGTTTGCTTACAAAACACGGACACAGGCACACTCGTGACGAGGTATAATTGTTACAATATATGTAGTCATCGTCACCGTGTGGCAAGGATAATTCAAGAATCTCTCTCAAACTTATAACAAAGTGACATCAAACAATGTATAATCTCGATGTAGTTCAAGTTTGGTAAAAGCTGGCTCATAAATATCCAGAGATGCTTCATTAGCTTAACCATGAGATGACGTTTGTAATGTAACATATGCCTGGCTTAGATAAGAAATCAACACAAGTGTGATTGAATGCAGTATGACACCGATAAAAGTTCAAATTAAGTTAATAGTAATATTGGACAATTTTATTTTTATTTGCTTGTTTTATTAGACGAAAAGAGGTTTACGGGAGAATGTCTCCTCTCTTCTCCTCCTCGTTGTTGGTGCTTTTTGTCGTGAATCGTTGTTTCCTGTGATTGCAATAACTCAAATTTATTGCAACAGCCAGCACATTTAATTCAAGGACATTGAATAAATATATCGTTTTCTTTATGTAATACCATACTATTGAACACAATTCATGTTATATCTTAGGAGGGAGCATGAGAACGACGTTATTATTCTAAAAAAAGAATTGGGATTATTGTACAACGTAATGTACTACTAAATATATAAAACGGTCTTATACAATACATACTCTAGCAATTATTCTCATAGAAACAGAAATCCATTTAATTTAACTGAATGTAATAAACACATACCACCAAGTCTAGTGTACATTTCATAAGTAGTTATAATTAGTGCACTATTTTGAAACTTTTATACAACTCATGTCAAATTATACAAAAGACCATAAGATTAATACTGTGCATTCAATATTAAATGAGAAACAAAAAAAAAACAATTTTCAGGAAGAAGTACTTATAATGTCAGTGTTCTTGTAAAATTCCATTCGGCTACAACCCCAATCCTACGTGTCACATGTACTTAATTTTTTGATAAAATTCAAATGGTGGCAATTTTATTTTATCCAAGTTTATATTCATTAGTTTTTTATGCTTTGACAGCCTATTTAAGTATAATTTCCCCCAAATCTAAGCGAACATTCACAGTGTTTCAAGGTTCATTGGATACCATACGATTATTTATAATATTATTATTATTATTAAAATTTATTTCAGGATAGGAGTAAATATAATATAATATCCTATATCAGGGGACTCTTAAAAAAACATCAACAACAACACAATTAATTGTTTTTAAAAATACGTCATATTTCTATACAAGACGTGATATTAAATCAAACAAATACGTATCCGAGTTGAGATATAATTCTACAACCTCGTTTTTACTGTTATATAATCGTACATGAAATTTATACATCATGATACGCCTGAGATCCTCAACATTTGATATTTTGTTATATACACAAATACCTCCGGTACTGCAGTCCCTTGCAGATCTCATTAAAATACAGAAAGCATTGTTATATGCAACCCTAATATTGTTTATAATTTGTTCACTAAAATTAAAGCATAAATGGGAACAACAGTACATGTTAGTGCAAAACGAACGACACAAAGGAACTTTAACTTCGGGAGTGCTATTTGAAAACTTACGAAGAAGTAGAAAGATTGCGTAAGACGCGTATTATCCATATTATCAGATGGATTATCTATTAAATTAAATGTGTATCCTACGTATTTATATCGAGATGCGACATTAAGACGCATACTACTGAAAATAATATAAAGGACTATACAAAATCATGACTTGCTCGACAATATAGTATGACAAAAAAAACAAAACCGTTGGCCCACACATCTCTACGAAACTGGAAGACCTTTGGATCCCCAAACATTATTTAATAAATGTCATCGCAAATTATCATTAATTATGATTAGTAATTCCACCGTGTTATTTATTTATAAGTAATATTCTGTTTTCATTACATTTTGATGTAATCGGTTAAAATCAATAATTATCCAGGTTATAATTTATAATATATCCGCAGCATACTTTGTTTGGCATGGGGTTTTACTGCCGCAAACCACTGTTATCGGACATGGGCCTAGCCTTGCCTGAATAGGCAGACTAGCTGCCAACCAAGGCTATGAGTCCAGTCAACTTCGCATTCGTTAGTGAATGAATCTCGGCCAGTTGTCCTTCCCATTGAGTTTGTGGCACACTCACCCAGGGTAGGAGTCGACCCTTATGATGTTCACCCTGAGGTAGGATTTGAACTTGGGTCTACCGATCATGAGTCTGATGCGACAACTACTACGCTACCAGTGACCGGTTATACATTCAAAGCAATATGGCAAATAATTCACGAGCATTGTTATTGTTAGCGGGGCATAGCGTTGACTAAATGTCAAAAATTTAATAATAATAACAATGTATTCAATTAATATTTTTCCATCAGAGACTAGAAAGCCTAAAATAACATGTGTATACATGAATATATTTGATACAAAAACATTGCTATTTTTTATTAATTGAATACATTTAGTTCAATCTGTGTGAGTAGTATACTATACAGGTAAGTATGTTTTCCCTGGTATCGGATCAAATAATACATTATTTAGTTGAATATATAAGGAAATTCATCGAATCATAATGAAAATCTTAACGCAGAATTAATTCGGTTAGTAAAACGAGAAATGAGTGAAATATTTCGGATAGCATGTCGCATTGTGAAGACGGTATAACATCGTATTTTTCAGCGTGATACAAAAGAAAAACTGGGACACACTATCGTTGACGGATGTGGGCAATTTACCCCATAATTGGCGGCGGAGATCGTAACACTGTCTAATTCCACTCAATACAATATATGTTAAGCTTTGTCATTTCGTTTACGACTGGTCATTAATTTGAGTTAACCTATTTAATGATGAATTTAGAAGGTGTTAAATAGACCTCATATAAAATAATGCCGTCGACACGTTGCGATAATTGTGACATATACTTCTTTGTATATGGAGACAGTACAATATCAACATTGTAAGATATATTTCGTATATTTTACACGTGTCAAACAAGGACAAAATATCTGTCCTTCAACAATCTAATGGAATACACGTCACAACAGGTCAGCAATGTTACTGAACGATGAAATATTAAGTTGATCGATTTAACCAATTATGAGAATCAAATTCGGCTTCAGTAAAAGTCTACTTCCTGGTCAAAAAACAAAAAAAATAAAAACAAAATGACAGCAAAACCGCGTGATCAATCACCACACGCTCTGT